GGGCTTTCTGGAGGAGGTTTGATTAATTTTTAGAGGAGCGGGAGATGGGGGAAAATTGGGAATTGGGAGGAATATTGTTTGAGGATGGAAACCAGATCCCCAAAAAAAAATATCCAAAAAACTGCGTCATCGAATACTTTAATGGACGCAACAAAATTGGGGGGATCGTGTTTTTGGCTCCGGAATTGGAGATTGCTTCGACGGAAAAAAGCTGTTGAATAAATATTTGGAGAACGTTTTGGTATTGGAATATTGTGAATGCAGCATTAATATGTACTTGAAATTTTGCTTTTTATATAGCCTAGACAAGTTCAGCTCCTAAAAAAATGCTCTACATAAAAAATGGGTAAAAATTTTTTATCGGGCAAATACTTGAGGTTCGAAAGTCCAATTTTTCTCAAATTTTGAACAAGCCATTTGTCTTTGTTGCAAAGAAATTTCTAAAGATTTATAGCCTGTGGTATTCAGGGGCAGACATGACAGTAAACAGTCTTTACCGACCAAAAAATACGCAGAGCGCCAATTTCAGTTGTTTCTGCAAAGCATGAAGTAGGAATCTACAAAAACCTATTATAAAAAAAATCTTAGTTTTTGTCCAATAATTCATCAAAACCTAAATTTTGCTCTAGCGCTTTCTCTGGGTATCCGATTTCGTATTTTAAAAACTACTGAACTTGCCCATAATTTTTCGTATTCCTTAGGGACGAGCATTCAGATTTAATACAGTCTTTCACAATATTCCCACGCCTTCTTGTCCCATTACACGTATACAATTACTGTTTTTAAAAAAGTTACAGCCACTTAAACAAATCTATATCGTCCTTAGCAAACGATAGCCTTTGCCCTCTTCGAAGCCTACAATTTGAATTAAGAGTACCAAAAGAGCTGGTAGTCAGCTGTGTCAATCAAACCAAAGGGTCAGCGACCAATTTTATGGCCTCTGGATATCATTTTAAATATAAGTGCATTGGAATTCCGGTGTAATATCACGTCTTTTGCAATAAAACGATTGGATTACATAAATACATCGCAGTAAAATTCAAAACACAATTTTTAGAGTATATTTTTTTTGTATGAAAAAGAAAAAAAAATTTTTATATTGCAATAGGCAATCTTAAAAATTCAAATATGGGCTAATTAGAACATGCAAACGATATTTACACTAGATCCGGCTTCAAACAGCAAAAGTTACGAGCATTTTCCCATTTTCTTCCATACTTCCATTTCTTGCCCCAAATACCATAAATCCGCTTCTAGCAACGAACGATATCCCCCGATATAACACCCCAAAATCACACTCCAAACACCCGTAAGTCCAAATATTCCACCTGAATGACCTCCAAGTCTTTGCCCCGGGGGTAATTTTCTCCTCAAGGATTTCGAATAACTTCTCAAGGAGAAACCAGCGAAAACAGCCCTCCGTCTTCAGTAATGCTCAACCGGAAGTGCGGTGCACAGAGATTGGGGCCATTCAAAACGTTTCGTTGGCAACTCGGGCCCTGTGCAAATCCCTAATTGAAGGTAAAGCGGCTAACAATGGGAAGGGGGGAAGGGGATTGCAATCTGCAAAAATGTGTGAAAGGGAACTCTAAAAGGGCATGAAAAGGGCCAGCGAGATGATTTATGTTGTAATACGGGGTTGAGCAGCTTTTAGCACTTGTATTTTTGGAGCAAAATTGTAGTTTGGAGATAAAAAATGGTGTAGAGATAAAAGATGAGGAAATTGTAGGAAATTCTGTAATGTGAGAAAAGATGACGGCTTGCTGAAAGTTGCCTAAAACTGATATTTTTTTGATGCATGTACGGTCAAATTACTGTACAAGGAATTGCAAGGGGACCAAAAAATTAAGTTTTTTATATAAAGTTGTTGTTCTACGGAGATATATTTTGTGAGCAACTTGTGGGACACCTGAAATTGCCCGTTATGGACAGGTTTCGTTTTATGGGACCTTGCTGCCCGTTCCACTGTATCCGCAAATTTTATATCGGGCTTTGCCATCAAAACCGAGATTTTAAGGCCGAAAATGGTACAATTTTTTGTTAAAAAAGTATTTCACATGTCAGTTATGCCAAGACAAAATAAGCCAAAATTTACAGCAATTGATATGAGGCCTAAACGAAAGATTTGATCAAAATTGAAGACAATCTAAGCGTTTTGCCTCTAGCGATTCTCTAAATAAACTCCATTTGCCGAACGATCTAAAGTTCGCTGCTCTTAAAAATACGTCTTTGCAACATTTCTTGGTAATCAATGTGCCTTCAAGAAAAAAATCCATTTCCCAATCATCCATCCCCTCTCAGAAGCCCTTTGATTAATCAAATTTTGCGCCGTCAGAATACCTCACAGCTTTTGAATGCAAAATTTTCTTTTGCTTCTGGAAATCCAGAACCATCGCACAGCTGGTTTCCCGCAAAAAACGGATCAAAACCCGGAGTCCGGCTTCAGAAAGTTAGCGGCATTAGAATCGAAAGAATTTGGGATTTGAATTTGAAAAAAAGGAGGGCTCGAGGTCTTGGAGGGGGAAAAGGGTTTTGGAGGGAGGGCTGATGAGCTTGGAAATGATCGGGGATCAAGAGACAGATCTGTGGGGAGTTTAGGGATTACGGCATAGGTTTTAAAAAAGGGGGTTGGAAAGGTCAGTGGATCAGCTGGCATTTTAATTTAAAAAAAAAAAATAAAAACATTAAAAAGATGTATCGCGATACTAGATGATCGTAAAAATGTCAAGAGTAAACATACGTGTGAAAATTACATTTTTTGAAACAAACCGCAGGTGATGAAGTATCTATGCTATCTCTCTATAACAAAGACAATTTTTTTTTTCAAATTTCATCAAAATTTTGCATTCGAGTTATGATCCATTTACAAATAATTGCTGAAACCCCGAGCACAAAGTGTTCGACGGCAGTCAGTTTATCAAGCAATTGTTTTTGTAAGAGGCTTTCGAAGCATGAGGAATGTCGGCTAGGCAAAAAAATGTCGTCGAAAACTTTTAGGCCTGTCGAAAAAAATGATTTTTTCAAACGAATAAAACAGCTTCAAATCAAAAAAAAAAAAAAAAGAAAGGAAAATCTCTGAAGATAGCTCGCTAAGAATCTAAATTTTTTGTTATAACATTAGTTAGTAGATTTGAGCCAATTTGCATCCAATTATGCTTGCCCCAAATCAAGGTAAACAGTTTGATTTTGAAAAACTTTTTGGTACCTCAGACTTCGTATGACTCAAACCATACCTCCAAACTTGCTGTTAATAGTTTCAAAGCGCCAATACAAACACTTCACCACTCATTTCCCACCAAAAAAGAATGATTTAATGCAAGGTAATCTAAAGTCCCTTGAACTTGAATCATTCGCCTACAGATTTCTCAACACTTCCTCAACTCTTGAAAATTTCCAAATTTCTCTTCAAAAAAGTATCCCTCAAATCGCTGCCACTTACTGTTTACAACAACAACAAAATTTTACGGTAATAAAACGAGGAGTAATGCAGAGAAGGCAAGCTAATTACCTTGTTTTCCCTCACTCTCCAAAAAACGGATTGCCACCCGTTTTTTAATCACGAAATTCTGACGAAAAATCGGCGCGCTCTCGCCTAAAAAGTCGGTCATCCCGTTGCTGGGTTTTGTCTTTTGTTTTTCAACGCTTTTTTTCTGGGGGAAAATTAGAGGCGACGGAATGTAAACGGAGGGTTTTGTGAAGGCTGAGTAAACGCTGGAGGTCAAGAAAAAAACATAAAAAATAAGGGATCTGGGAGATGCCGTAAAATGATTTCAGAATTCACCAGTAAGGAATCTTAAATGTTACCTCAACGATCAATTTGGGAAGCCTATTTTGAAAAAATTAGGGGATTAGATATCAAATCAACGATGCTTTTTTCCGAAGACGTATGCGAGGTTTACGTTTTACGAGTTTTACTGAGCGTGTCATTAAAACGATTTAATTCTGAACTTGATTTAAAATTTGTGGGTTCGATTATTGGACACAAAACTCATACAGAAAGCTGTATTTTTTCGGCAGCGAAGGCAAATGTGTTGATATGCCGTTTTCAAGATCTAAAGACCTCATAAAGCATGATTTTACCATGAGAAAGAGTGCTGTGCTGGTGTTAAAAAGTATACTCATCGTCCTTGTAGGTCCCTAAAGGTCGTCTTAAACTAGCCGAGCCATGTCGCTTACTCATAGTGACTGAGAAGACTTTAGGCATTTTTAGGTGATCAGAAAGTTTTGTCCACCAGTTTTTGAAAAGCTTTCATAACTCGCCTAAGGACAGAGGTATTAAAAATATTTTTACGTGGCAGATTCTGCCTATCATTGCTAGTATACGTGCCAAGTTTTAAAGTGATCGACTCTTATTCACTTGAGATAAGGGTGGTCAGAAGTTTATGTCCGGGAGTATATGGCTGAGGTAGAATAAGTGTGCAAAATTGCAAAATTGTAAGCAAATCAGATATCCATTTCAAAGACTTTCCTTATATGGTAATCCCAGTGCGCCAGCAATGTAATCACCCTATATTTATCATTTATCAGCCTCTAACTACAAAGATATCAACGAATAGACCCTCTGAGCACGTCTTCCTAAACCTCCAATACCTCCTTCTCCAGATATCCCTGTGAAAACAATTATTTCAGAGAGTTTAAAACGAAAACTTTAATTGTCCGTCGTTACATCATACCGCTCGTCTTTTGGAGGCTAAAAGCCCGTCACAAATTGAATGGGATATTGCGCATTAATACGTTCGAGCCACTTCAAATCAATCGAGGATTCATTCGGATGGGATGAGCAATTCATTCCAATTACGGTAAATATGAGAGCGTGGTAATTGTCACAAAAACATAATGAATTTCTGGCTGACTTGCAAGTTTTCTTTGACATAGTAAGCTTGATCTAGGCATGTTTTTAGGAGGATTTTTACATTAATATTGCCGTTATATTATATTTCCAAATATATATCAGCAATTCAAAAATCTTTTTATTTACAAGTCTCATCATCACACAAAAATTACGCAGTTGACGCATTTTGTCGGCTGATTGAGAAGAATGTTGAACTAAACAACACCTTGCGGCTTGGCCTACAAAATAAAGAGCGTCGATAGTTCGGGATGATGAGGATCGCGGATACTGAATTCACCACTGGAAGCCACATTGCCGTATACGTCATCACATATCCAAGAAGCGGGACCTCCACGGAGAATAACGAAGCCGCAGTTACCGCCATAACTGGGCCGGAGAGCGAGAGGAACGGGATTATTGCCTGAAATACGAAAGAGAGTTTATTAACAGGGAAAGTTCTTGATGTTCGGCGCTCAGATTTTGATGAAATTTGGCATGGATTAAGAATACTTTTTTCTAAGATATATGCGAGAATCCTACCTCGCGCTTTGCAGAAACAACCGACATTTTTAGACCGAAGATTGGCGAAAATTTGTGACTTTTTATCGAATTTCAGCACGAAAAGTTTTACTCGACTACTTAAAAAAACAGTAAATTGTAAAAAATGGTATCTTAATGGAGGCAAAAAACGTGCTTCGCTTTGGCTTAGCACCTGTCGACGGTCATTTTAATGCAAAAAAACTCAAAATTGATTTTTTCCTATGTCCATGTACACATAATTGGTGGCTGTTTCACGGACTCAGAAACTCAGAAATCGTCTATTAAGGGTAATATTTCCACAAAAAATCAATTTTTTCCATACTGAACAGGCAAAGTTATAGCCAAAAAAATTTTTTTCGTCTCCACGTTTAGTGTACTCTCTCGGTGGCAAAGAATGTTCAAAATCTCGGCGGCGCCTGCAAAGTGCGAGCTAAAACTTTCAGGAATTGACATTCAGTCCATGCCCGACTTGTGTGTCAAATTTAAAAAGAATCCGAGCGTCTCAATTTGGGTACTTCCCTGTGAGAAAGGGGAGCTTCTCCAAGTACGACGCTCAATTCAGGACAAAATTTGACACAATATAATACGCAATATCCCTGTAATTCAGAAAATTTTTACCTGGATTAAGAGTATTTTGGTTAGCTGATTTTGTGCTTCCAATGTGCCTTTGGACATGCAGAATCTGACCTTGCGCAGTTGAAGGTAAATTTTTAGCCCGACAACGATCACAATTAGATATGAAATGGCAACAATCAAAAAGCTGACGGAAAAATGCATCGCAGCGGGGAAATAATGCTGATCACCGACGAAAAAGTTGGGGGTATTGGGGCTCCAGACGGGGTCTGCTCTGAAATTTGAATTTTTTTAGTCATCATTTTTATAAAAAATTTAAAAATAAGTAAAATTTTACTTTAAAATGGGCAGATGAGAGGCAATAACATCTTCATGAGGGTAGAAAACGTAGTATCCCCAGACACAATGAGCTGCGAGGATGGGTAAAATGACCAGATATAAGGCAATGTACTTGGTGATGGTAAGTTGGCGATTCCTGAAAAATCAAAATATTTACTTACTCATAGTCTGCAAGTTTGTAAATAAAGTCGCGACAGTAACTTACAGACATAACGCTGTGTAACGATAGACAAATTGCATGGGAATGTTGATAATTGTGGCGAAAATTGAGAATAAAAATATCATCCAAATCACTCCCATTGGCTGATGAGGTAGTTTTTCGAAGACTCCGCCGAGAAAAAAGAACATACTTCCTTGCTGGATTTCTACTATCTAAAAATGAAAATTAACGTTTTTACAGGATTTATCGTATAAAATGTCACTTTAATTCTTAGGTATTTTTTTATCAAGAAGTTTTTTGTCGTATAAAATATCTTATTTTGCTTGGTTTCAGACTTATTGTAGAAAATGTCACTCTTTTCCAAAAAACTTTTTTTATCGTATAAAATCTCCCTCTACCCTAAAAATCATCTTGCATTGTATAAAAAAACCACCCTTCTTCAAAGATCTTTTCTTCATCATATAAAATGTCCCTTATTCCAAGAATCAACTTTCATCGTATAAAACGTCCCCACTTACCGGAGTAAAAATAATACTCATGGAGTTATAAAACAGGTCGACGACACTCGACATAACCAAAATAATACTGTACTTTTTCATATAATTATCACTTTTCTTGATGGCCAAATAAAGAAGCAGCGAATTTGTAATGATGGACAACAAGCCAATACAATGGTCGTACGTTACATGGAAGTCTCGAAGATAGGCGCCCATGATGGTCATTAAAACACGACAAAAACTGGCGGATGAGGTCTGAAATTTTTAAATTACGATGAGCCATGGTGTGTTTTTGGCTACAATTCAAATGTAGTTTTACATTTCGGGAGGAAATGGAGGTCTTCAAATTGGCAAAGGCGGAAATTGGACGAAATTGGAAATTGGAGTAAGGTTACCAGAAATCTTTGAATATATGTAACATAATCTTTGATTACCGGTAAATCTCAAGTTGTGGATCTAGTACTGGTAGTGTACGTTATATAATGCATTGGAACTTGCAACAAAGTGCAATTTGGAATATAATACTGACTCGTGAGCGTGAATCAAAAAGCTATTTGAAAATCACTGTCATTTGGGACGGTTTGGCAAGGTCTTCACAGAAAGGTTTGGTAAATTTGCCCCGGGATTATTGCCAGTACCGAGGCCAGATTGTTTTTTAGAGCCATTGCCTGGAGTCGGCCGAGGGCGGACCAAACGCGTCCCAGCTTCCGACCGTAACCAACTCGTTGAATTGCACGTTGTCACGAGCATAACAAAATCTGTCTACAGCAGACAATTCTAGGGCGTCGCGACACTTGCGGGCAACCCCTTTGCGGGCAGCCGACATTTTTTATTAGAATTACGATTTCCCTCCCGTAATCTACGTAGTACGATATAAATTTTACATTGACAACTCTCTGGTACTGATAAGTCCAGAAATCTATTAAATTCATCCACTGCTTTCAAAGTTATACGAGTTTGTTTTCAAAAAACGGTAAAAAATGCCTGGATAAGCTTATGGTAACTATTCAAGCCACTTATACACCTGGAAACTTAATCCGCACCATCTAATGCCAAATTCATCGTTAGAATTTCCTGTTGTAAGCAAATTTCGGCTGATTTCAGAAGATTTCCGCAGAATCTCCGTGGTTTTTCAAGCTGCCCGCAAAGTGGTTGCCCGCAAGTGTGGGCCCGCCAATTCTAGGCGCCCAAGATAAAAATTTTTAGCTAAAATTAACCTAAAGGCCTTCTACTATATTACGAATAACCCTTCCGTCCGTTGCAATTCTTTCAACAATTTTAAAGCAGTCTAATACTTTGTTAGTGCATTATGGATCCACTACAAACGGTTTGTGCACGGTGTAATAATATAGATACAATTTTAAATAAAGCTATTCACAGAACATATTATGTATAAAAACGTGACAATTGTGAGGGCGGCGTCACAGATAATCTCATTGATGAATATTTCACTACCGAATACTGCTGCTGTCACTCAATAACTAAATTACAGTGTAAATTACAAAACACGACAGCTGTTTTAAAATAAAGGTAAATTGCTGCAAAACGAAAGGCCTTAATTATACTGTTTACATATGACCAAGTGATAAACACAAAAGTTCACTATTAAATTTTAAGTCTTTTATACATGGTACAATTGTCTGTATGTACAGTCAGTTTCCCGATAAAATACGTACAATTCAAGGGTAAGAGCCTACATCTTCTACGTATATCAAAACAACAGCCAAATTGGAATAACTGAGACAAAAGCTTTTGCAAAAGAAAATGGTTTTTGATCTAGGCAGTCATGCGTAAGAGGAAAGTAATTGAGACATTTATGGAAAATGAAAGGCAAATAAGGAAACTTATTGCCATTTTCCAGAACTCTTTTGCCGGAAGACAGTTACGGTGGCTTAATGGGAAGCATGTAAATGAGGTAATTACAACGAAATAAACAACAGTGTGGTGTTTTTTGTTACAACTTTCTAGAAATAGACAAGTAAAATTTTTTTCAGATATTCGAAATCAAAACACTAAAGAGCAGCGACTTTCTAACAAATTTGTTTTTCCAAATTCAGTTGTGCTATATCTGAATTTAAAAACAGTTTTTCGAATTTGAGAAAGAATTGGTCTACAGATTCCTTAGCCGGTGCAAATCTCGAATAAATAAGTTGCTTTGCATTGTTCCAAGGAAATTGTAGGCTATTTTTTTACGAAAAATACAGTAAGGCCAGCTTGAACACTGCTTTGATTTAATGGGAAGTACAAAACTTTTTAATGAGAACTGTAAATACAGTGAAACATAGTTTGTACATAGTCATTACGATATTGTTGCAATTTAGACTGACATTTTGGAGTTAGCGATGGGGTGTTTAGGAGTTTGATCAGTGGGCGTTGGAAAATGACATAAGCGTGTAGTTCGCAGTTAAATGGTTAGAAGAATTATGCGCCCACATATGCAAATGCATGACAAGAAAAGGTGAGACAATAAAGCGAAGAATGGAATCGAAATTCAGTAGCGTGGGCTTACAGACCTCTTCAATTTTACGAGGGGCTGCAATCACATAAAAATTTTTTTGTTTTGTGAAGACAAGATGCCGGAAACGGAAAGTTTGCAGGTTGAAAAGCTCTGGCAACAGAATAATTTAAAAGCAGCTATTACGGCTCTAGTTCGGGCAGAAAATCAATGTCTTAGAGTCAGAAGCAGTCAAAACGACTGGTCGCATTTGAACGGTGAGTGATAATTTTTCATCCAAACACGAAATTTTCCCCCCGGAAAGCGCAAAGACAAAGCCGAGAAAACTATTACTGTTTGAATAATAATGTAAAGCGGATATCATATTATATACATAAGGCAGACACTTGAAGTTACAAAATCTCGTGGTCACGATATTTTGAGTATCATTTTAAGTGTATTGTTACACTACAGTCTCCACGTAATGGCGAGTATTTTGGATTCTTCGGTCCTTGGGTGACCAAATTCTGTTCCAGGACAAATAAACAAGAAAATTTGGTCGATGGAGTTACAGTAAGCGTTCCATGTGTTGGAGAGAGAAAACGAGAGGCCAAATTTTCGAGGTAACTACAATTTCCAAATTTTGGAAAAGCAAATTTGAAGCAAGGCTGAAGACATCTACAGGTGTAGAATATTTGAAAAGTTATGACATAACTGATGTCATGGTGATAATTTATGACATAACTGATGTCTTGGCAGTGCTAAAAGAAGCGTAAAAAAACAGATCAACCTCAAAACGAACCAGTAGAAAAATCAGAGAAATACCCAAAATTCGATGCAGGGATTCCTTAAGAAATTGCATGCAGGATTTGCAGAGCCCGCATAAAAAGCTAGAACTTAATATGGCGCTTTGCATAGGCAGCCAAGATATTCAACAATTCTCTGCGTCGAGGGAGTATACAATGTATACTACATGCACCAAATGATGATTGTATGGGTATGGTGTTAATATATTGTCCCAGCATGTTTCTGCGGGGTTCTAGGCATATCGATTCCCGAGGTACGAAGAGGAAAACATTTTTGTCGACCGGTATAACCTAAATTTCGGGGAAAAATGTTTTTTTAATCATATCTGTCCCAACCGCACAAAAAATATTCCTTTTTGTGTAAACATTGCCATTTGGAAAAAAATATTTACAAAGAAATGATTACAAAACTTTTCATGCTAAAATTCGCAAAAATAGTCAAATTTTCGCCAAATTTTGAGCAAAAAGTTCTATTAACGGGTACGAATCTCTGATGTGTCATAGGGTAATTCATTTTACCATTTGCCATGCCTTCCTTCTCAGGCTCATATGTATTTAGTACAACCAATGGTCTGCTAGCGAAATCATTGTCCTTTTATTTACAAACATATACAAAGAATAAAAGCATCAGTGACGGCGTATTTTACTCAAACGCTGGTCGAACAGTCGCAATGTCAGAGGGATAAACGACTTTTAAAATATTATTGTAAGTTGGTTCGTATATTCCGCAATATTTGTCGAGGTCCACTGGCCGTTGAGAGGAAGTTTTATCTAAAATAAAAATTGAATTGAAAACAAAACTTTAGCTTCAAAAAATTGCAAAAAAAGATTTCTCACCTGTGTTAGCATGATTTTTCATCGATTTCCTCTTTGAAGCCATGATATTTCTCATGTCAACCGCATTTGTGTTGCAAGAATACTCTCCGGATGCTGTTACAGCCGTATTTTCTTCCTCATCTTCCTCGCATTCCGGATAATTTCTTCTTCGGCAACTTGGAACTTCAGGGATCTCATACTTGGTCCGGCAGATCCATGTGATCATTTGGAGGAAAGTGAGGACCAGTTCTCCAACAGTTATAATACACCAGCCAATCCAGAGACCGGTATTTCCGTACAGATTGCTCAAGAGGTCGGTGAACTAAAATTTAGCGCGTTAACATACACTGCAATTCTCTGACATTGATCAAAGAAAGTGCTCAAAGTTTGACGTTCAAATCCTGGTCATACTTGGCGTCAAATTTGATGAAATTTTTGTACTACAGTGGGGGATCTGATCCAGTGGCAAAAAACGTACCATTTTGCATCCGGGAAGTATCAAAAACGTGGCAAAATACTTCCTTCTCCAAGTGAAGAAATCCGGTTTCAAAAGCGCGCCCGCTCTTTTTGTGAGGGAGAGGGCGCGCTCTTCAAACGATGTTTTTTCACTTGGAGAGGGAAGCATTTAGCCATATTTTTGATGCTTCCCGGATGCAAAATGGTACGTTTTTTGCCAGTGGATCAGGTCCCTTATTGTAGCAAACGGACTAGTAAGACGTATGCCCAATTCCTAGCTCGGACTTTACAGACAGAATCAAAATATGTGTCCGAAAATTGGTCAAATGTTGTACCTTTTGTGATTTTATGCATGAAAATTATTAAATTTGATTTTATGACAGGGGACAACTTCGCTATGAAAAAGCTAAAAAAATTCTCTATAAAAATGTCGCCAAAAGATGTTGTCACTAAATATATGTGCAAAAATAATGTTCTTCAAGTCCTATGCATTACATCTACAGCAATTTTTCTGTCTTCAAAATTTACCGCTTGGTCCGGGCTCTCCTCCAAACTCTCGTAGCCGAATTGGGTAAAGTACACCTGCACGAGGACCGTGTTTTTCCTGAAATGTTGCATTAAGTATTACCCTAAGTTATGAGTCAAACATCAAGCACTGCATAACTAATCTAAATTCTTTTGAAATTTTTTATCATCACAATGTTTTTGCAAAAACTTGAAATTTTTTGTGTTATAAAATACGACTGACCGATAGTACTCTATACAATCTTCAGAGGCACTAAGATTCGCACATGCTTTGTCGACAAAAAATGGGCCATGAGGCCAATGGAAGTTGACCACATCTCCGCCAAATGCGTCATTTTGACAAGGGGAATCACACTCGCAATCCGCGAAATAATAATCGCCATTCTTTTCAATGTAGTCGGTGTAACATTTGTCTAAAAGTTGCCGTGTTTTGAATATTACAATTTAAAGAAATTAAGTGGTTTTTACACGCACGAAAATTGTGCTATGGACTTCCGTTGTAGTTTAGTCGACTCACATTTATCGGCGTTGACGGGAGTACAAACCTCGGTGTCGTTCACCTCCGGGAATCTGGCGTCAAAACAGCCGCAGGTCTCGGCGATCTTGGTCTGAAAACAAGAGCGCAGACAGCCTTCGGTACTGTAGGTGCCGTTAAATAAGAATTGCTGCTTTCGAGCGGAAATTGAATCCAAAGTGTCGCAAAGACCGTAGGGCTTGCCAAGACGGCTGAAGGAGTTCTGAGAGGGGTAAAAATAAAACTTATTTACAGTAAGCAAGCAAAATTAGGACAAAGATGATAGAAAAGATGATCTTCTGTATCTAAACTTTTGACTTTAGGTCTTTGGAAATGGAATTTAAAATTAATTTTTTTTGCATGAATAATTGCCAAAAATGCTGACATTTTTTGCAACAAAAGAACGCCAGGAACGACTCAAATATTCATTAAAATATGCACGTACTCTCCGCACCATTATTCCGAATCCAGCTCCGGGCCGTGCAAAATACCCCTCTTGGTTTGGGAATGGCCAAGTGTTCTGGGGATGGACAACAACCTTGACGCCCTGGAATTCGGTGGACTCGAGATATTCGTCTTCATCGACGATAGTAATGATTTGTAAACCATGATCAGCCCCGAAATTTGTGGCGTTGTAGAAACCGGAGGGCTCGGCATAATTGAAGGTGTAACAGTAGCCGTAGTCAACGTCAAACCGTTGATCGAAATCTCTGAAGAAGAAGTAAAAATAAGCAAAAGAAATAAAAAGACGAATCACGAAAGAAATGTGAAAATCGATAAAGATCCTACCTGTCCATGTTGCACGGCCTTCCGTCAATGGTGCAAGTGCTAATCAGCTCCGGCAATTGGTAAGAAACTTCATCCCTTTCGGTTTGAGTAAGGCCAGCGGCAACTATTTGCATGGACACCAACATATTCGCATTTATCGTCACTTGATTGTCATTGCTCTATAAATTTGTTAGCTTAGGATATCGATAAAGAAAATATTAGAAACTTTTTATATCTATACAATGCTGATTAACTTACCGATAAACCGAACAGATCAGCCAAGGTTCCGGGGTCTACAAGGGGAGAAGTTGTAAAAGCAGATGTACCCAAGCTAGTTGGAGATGTACTCGTGTTCTTGACAACTGTTTTTGCAGTCTGAGTTGCCGTAGTTTCAAGACGCGCCTCTTTAGATGATGCTGTTATTGAACTTGTCGATGCACTCTGAGCGGTACTAGTCTTTGTAGTAGTTGATAAGACAGTTTTTGCCCCTTCTTGAGTAGCCGACTGCGTCATACTAGTAGCTGGAATAGAAGCTGTACTCGTAGAAGTCAATGAACTTGTCTTTGACGTCAATACACCTCTAGTTGAGCTTATTCCAGCCGTTTTTTCATTTGTTGGAAAAGTCGTTGAAATTGGGATTGTTGCGCTTGTCTTGTGCGTAGTCAAAATTGGAGATGTTGCCGTGCTCATTAGAGCTGACGGTTTAACCGAAGTTGAAGTCGTTTTCAGTGAAGTTGGTCTTTTTGTTGAAGTGGTTGTGAGAGTACTGCTGGTAGAAGATGTTCGTGACGTTGTAGGGTGAAGAGTTGAAGCTTTTGTTGCAGTTGTTATTGTTGTTGATGCTTTTAAAGTGGATGTTATAACGGCGGCTTTTCTTGACGTTGCTAAAGTTGTTAGTCTTGTAGGCGTAGTTGTTGTGCTTGTTGAAGCTTTTGGAGTTGTTGAGATCTTTTGTGTAGTTTGCTTTGAAGTAGATGTTGAAGTACTTGTCGAAGTAGACGTACTTTTTGTGGAAGTGGTTGGTGAAGTTATGGATGTTTTTGTTGTGGTTCCAGCAGTTGTTGACGTAGTAGTCCTGGGGGTGCTGGAAGAGCTCGTGCTTGTCGAGGGACTTGTCTGAATTGTTGGGGAAGTTATGATAGTCATCGTTGTAGGAGTTGTTGTGGTTCTAGTAGAGGTGGAAGTCGATGTAGAGGTTGCGGTTGTGCTAGTAAGGGTTGTTGGAGTGGTAGAAGATGAAATGGTCGTGCCAGTAGTAGAAGTAGAAGAAGTAGCAGTAGTAGTACTAGTACTTGCAGAAGTAGTAGTAGTGGTAGCAGTAGTGGTAAAAGTAGAAGTAGTAGAAGTAGAAGTTGTGGTAGTGGGAGTAGTAGTGGTCGTTGTAGAAGTAGTAGTAGTTGTGGTAGTAGTAGTTGGTGTAGTGGTGGTAGTAGTGGTAGTAGTTGGAGTGGCGGTAGTCGTTTTAGTACTAGTAAGAGTAGTAGTAGTAGGAGTAGCAGTTGCAGTTGTAGTAGTAGTGGTGGTAGTAGAAGTAGTTGAAGTCGTCGTAGAGGAAGTAGAAACTGTAGTAGTAGTTGTAGTAGTCGTCGTCGAACTTGTCGTGCTCGGAGTAGTTGTTGGCGTTGTTGTGGTATCCGTGGTTGTAGTAATCTCTGTTGTAGTATCTACAGTCGTCGTTGTTGGCTCGGTTGTAGTTGTTACCGTAGTAGTAGTTACTTCTGTTGTTGTGAGCTCAGCGTTCGTTGTTTCCTGTAGAGTAGTTTCTTTTTCAGTCGTCTTTTTCTGAGTTGTACTCTCAACCGTCGTGGCGCCCTCAGCTGTAGTCATTTCTTCAGTTGTCAAAATTGTTGTGGGTTCTTCCGTAAGCACTGTCGTAGTCTCAGCTGTCGTTGTGGCCTCTTCAGTGGTACTGATTACCGTCGTAGTTTCTGTGGTACTTGTCTCAGCTGTTGTTGGTTCTTCAGTAGTTAATATCGTCGTCAATTCAGTCGTCAGATCTGTGGTTGTCGGTTCGATTGTGGTAAAGTTTTCACAATTAATTATTCTACACAATTCATCGTAATACCCCGAGTTTCCGCAAGTGGAATTGTCAAGAGTGTACGGGCAATCATCAGTGCATTTGTAAGCGCACACATAAGTTGAATAGGCATTTGAAAAATCGCTGGCTAATTGAGATATGGCATCGCTGCAATTTGGGTTGACATTAAATTTGTATGGGGTTACATCGGTGCCGGAGGTGTCACATTCTGAAACAATAGATGTTTTTTTAATGAGTTTCAAAGCTTTTCAAAAAATGTGGTCACTTTTGGAGCACTTTCTTTATAAATTTTAAACTTACGATCAATGTTAATCGTCAGCGCATTGTACGACCCTTTATTGCACGTCCTATACGAATAATACCCGACTCCCACTGGCTTGTCTTCGAATCCCGTTGAGCATAAACTCCCGCCATCGCTAAATCCGCAGGATTTGGACGCAGCCACCGCGAACGGCCACATTGGGTCCGGATCGCCGCTGGCTGGTGGGTAGTTGGAGGTTGCCACGCCAGAACAATGTCCTAGATTGTCGACGACACCAAGGAAGTTGGTCCCATTACAAATCGGATTGCAGAGATAGGCTTGAGCGCAAGATTTGTAGATAATGTCAAAGGTTTGTTGAAACGAACTCGTAAATTCATTATTGCCAGTAACGGTGTACGTGGAGCCGCTGGCACAAGTAAAAGTCGCATTGAAATATTTGGAGCTACTCGTGTCGTTTGTGCAGGAGCTGAGTTGATAGGTAATTGAGGAGTCAGCGGTACTGGTAACTGTTGATTGCGAGCAAGTATCTCGCTTGAAACGTCTGTTAATCGACTCGAAAGTCATTTCCCTAGCATTTTCCGGGTCTGGTTGCTTCGTCTTGCTATAATCGGCATTACTATCCATTGTAGCCTCGCGTTTTCGTCTTTTTGCGGCGACTAAGGGCGTATACGTTGTAGCGTTGGCTTTCCTTCTCTTTTCCATTTTTTGTTTTATCGTAATGCCGTAAGCATTTTGCTGAAAGAATATTGAATATCATCATAAAATACGATGAACATACCAAGGCTTGGATCTGCGGAACCTTGTAGATTTGGCTTCGTTTAAACGGGTTCAAGTTGCAAATAGTCACTGCAGGGAAGGCCTCAGTGTTGCTGGATTGGATCTGTAATGAGAAATAAACATGCTGCTTATCAGTAGGCTCTTAGATTTTGATGAAACTTGTCCGTGGAATTTTCACAGTATGTTTTATCATATTTTTCCTGCCTTACATGAAAATTAATTTTCTTACCGTGATTGCAGTGCTCTTTCCATACTGTAAGTACTCGCTAATCAGTTGATATGACTGATATAGAAACAATCCAACCAAAACGACAGCAACCAACGTCCAAAACATTCGCCATCGTTTCTTTTTGGTCTGCGATATGTGATTGAATGCTAAATCGATAGAACGTTTATCTAATCACTTACCAACAAAGCTGTCGGTCCAATAAATCCAGTTCTTTGCAAAAATTTTAACTCCCATTTAAAAAATGGTTTCAATTCAAAAAGTTGTTAAAAAATAAAATACGAAGCAATGTAAAAAACAAAGCCCTAGGGCAATCAAAAGTCCACCTCCAAAGAATTCGTGGCAACTCTCATTTTTGGAATCGCTTTGCATATCTCTTAGCGACTGGTTGCATTTCGAATTTCCGGCCGGAGTTGGGACACTTCTCTGTCCGTACTTGCGACCTCGGCCCAGGGTATTGACTGTTTAAAAGTCAAATCAGTGATGAATTATTTATCGGCCGACGGAAATCCGTAGAACACGAGCTACCGTATGAAAAGAGCTGAACGGTGGTTTGTAGGCTATCGGGTAACAAAACGGAAGATGTATGTTGCGAAGTTTGCTATATAAGTTACTTTATTGTTAGGCTTGAGAAAGCATAAACCGATGAGATCAATCCAGCAGTATAAATAAGAGTTTGACCTATATAATTATAAGACCGGAAAGAAGTTATCACGTTTTAAAAAGCCTTGGCGGTTTCTAGAAAAGCGAAGAATCTCGCATATGTACGTAAGCCAATTGCAATTTATTCTTTTGTTCTATCGAGTAAAAGGATCTATGGCTGTGCTAAAACCAAGATCTATGGCTGTGCTAAACCGGTGAATTTTTAGACTTGTTAGTTCGCCTTGGTTGGCCAGCTGTTAATCAGTGGGGCTGGCGGTGAAGAAACATAGTGGTCTTGACGGCAAATCGTAGCAGCACCGGCTTATTGTTAGATCAGAAAAGGGCTAGAAGTTATAGTCGCCAAAGTTATAGTCAGTAAATGAATCATGTTTTCTCAGAGAGGTTTGGGAGATGCTTATTAGAGTTCCGGTAATTCTCACCCTCTTGTACAGTGCGTCAATCTTGTAGCCCAATTTGAATTAGCTACAGTACAATTTTTTGAGTTTTCAGGGAAATGTTAAAATTCTTTTTTCCCTGAATCTTCATAGCCTGAATTTTTTCTTGGAGCCAAGTAAGGTACAAAAACCAAAAATTCCATCATTTTATGGTGAATATAAAAAATCCTAAGAATTGATCGAAGACATACTTAAAAATTTTTATTTATTCATCTTGGGGTAATCTTATTTTTACTGTTCTTATCCCAAGCCACAAGTCGGCTGACTGAACGAGTTGTTGACCCGACGGTGTCCTTTCGGCCGGGCTTGAAAAAGAAAAATCTTCGAAAATTCGGGACAATTAGAATGGCGGATACTGAATTCACAACAGGCAACCACATGGCAGCAAAAGTCATGGTATACCCTAACAAAGGAATGCTTATTGACAGTAAAGAGAACGCGGTTCCAATCATTACAGGGCCGGAGAGGCAGACGAACGGAATTATTGCCTGAAGATGATGTTTGTTGTACAAAAGAGCACCTTATTTTCTTACCTGAATTAACAATATTTTGGTGAGTTGACCTTGAGTTTCCACATTCCCTCTGGACATGCAGGATTGTAGTTTGCGCAATTGTAGATAAATCTTCAGGCCCGTAATTGTCACCACTACATAGCAGGCACCGACAATGACAAAACTTGTGACAAAATGCATTCTTGCGTAGTGATCTTTTTGGTCAGCAACGAAGAAGGTGGGTGTATCTGTTCCCCAAACTGGATCCGCTCTGAAATACGAATTACATACAATAAGAAAATTTGTGACATAATGGGGTCAAGGGAGCATGACTTACTTGAGAAGGGGCAAATGCGAAGAAACTACATCTCCGTGGGGATAGAAGACATAATATCCCCAAATACAGTGAGCTATCGGGACTGGGAGTGCAAGCAGGTAGAGAATCAGGTAATTGGAGATTGTGAGCTGGTGGTTTCTGCAATGGTTGAGAAGAGCTTAGGGTGTTTACAGTACAGGGTGTTTCAAGAAATTTGGCAGAAACTAGTTGCGAATATTTTTGAGCTCTTGCTAGTTATCGCAGAAATTCTTTTTGTTTCTAAAACTTGACAGCGGGCGGTTTTGTACTGAACAAAAAAAAATTTTTTTCGTCGGCGGAGAGGCCAGTTCTCGGCGGAGACATTTGGGGCCTTTTTTAAAAATCACACCTTATTACATGGCGGAAACTCTGTTACAGCGGCCGAAATCATGTTTACGTTACACCTCCGTGGATTTTACGGTATGCTTTTTTTGCGTTTTCGATTTTACGCAACATCCGCGGAGGCGCGGCGGAGACCTCACATTTCGGCGGACTTTGTTTTGGGCCCTCGGTTTTTGCAAATCCATGTTGGAAAAAAGGTTGGGGCGATTTTTTGTTGTCATCCGATGCACAGATGGCAAAAATTTTGTACTTTTTTCCCCCGGCGGAGGATTCGGCGGAGGCTTTATCAAAGGGTCAAAACAAAAGTTTGACTCTTTTGATAAAGCCTCCGCCGAATCCTCCGCCGATGTGTCCGCCGGACCAAAAAATAAGAAAAATGATGTTGCTGTGATGGATTCTTGTAGCTGAGTTTTTTTCCCAGACTCCTAAGACTGTTCTGACCCTTTGATAAAGCCTCCGCCGAATCCTCCGCCGGGGAAAAAAGTGCGAAATTTTTGCATCTGTGCATCGGATGACAACAAAAAATCACCCCACACTTTTTTCCAACCTGAATTGAATGATCCAAAGAGTCAAAACGACGTCCGCCGAAACCTGAGGTCTCCGCCGTGCCTCCGCGGATGAGCGAAAATCGAAAACAAAAAAAAGCATACCGCAAAATCCACGGAGGTTTAACGTAAACATGATTTTGGCCACTGTAACAGAGTTTCCACGATGTAATAAGGTGTGATTTTTAAAAAAGGCCCCAAATGTCTCCGCCGAGAACTGGCCTCTCCGCCGACGAAAAAATTTTTTTTTGTTCAGTACAAAACCGCCCGCTGTCAAGTTTTAGAAACAAAAAGAATTTCTGCGATAACTAGCAAGAGCTCAAAAATATTCGCAGCTAGTTTCTGCCAAATTTCTTGAAACACCCTGTATTATACGTATAACACATATATATGTAATACAAGAATTCTAAAATTCGTGGAAACTGTAGGTCAGCCGCAGAATCCAACCATTGAATGGCAAAACAGGGCTTACTTACAAACAAACCGCCGTATATCGATAGAAAAACTGCATAGGAATGTTGATCACAGTGCAAAAGATAGAAACAAGATAAGTCATGCAAATTATCCCTGTTGGTTTTGGAGGTAAATGCTCGAAGGGCCCACCGAGAAAGAGGAAAATTTTGCCTTGCTGGATCTCAACAATCTGAAAGGATAACGACTAGAAGAAGTGTCTCGATTATTTCGCGTTTCCCAAAGACCTTGGAGCTCTTACCGGTGAAAAGATTATGCCGAATGTGTTGAAAATGAGGTCAATTACGCTAGAAATGATCAGAATAACACTGTACTTCCTGATATGCGAGTTGCTTCTTCTGATAGCCAAGTAAATTAGCAAAGTATTAGTGATAATTGAAAGTCCACCCACAAAATGCTCGTACGCAACATGGAAGTCTCGGAGGTAGGGGCCGAGAAGAGCCATTTGGACGAATGAATAACCGCTGAGGCTTCAGGGAAGAATGAAGTACTTGTTCTCATATAAATAGGAACGTTCAACTTTTCTTGGGAGAACGACCGCTATGTACAATACAGTTGTAGTCGTACAACAAGTTCCTAAAATTACCCTGGCGGTTTCAAGGAACGGACTTACACTTTGAAGGTGTAAAGTTCCTGAGGATGCTTCAACAATTGTATGTATTTTTTGTGTGTTATTACACACATTGTATACCCTTAAATGTCTCTTTCCAAAAATGCCTATTACACGTTTCATCAACATTCAAAGTTTGATTTGGAGCAAGGAGAGTGTGAGGTACGTACCAGTGCAAAAAAAGGAGACTTGAAGTTATCCGATAGAGGCTTGTCAACGTTGTGTCATGCGACTTGACAAACAATTTTTTTGAATTACCAAATTTCTAGCGATCTCCTCCAATGACTGGAATACACCCCTCTACTGAGAAAATAGTGCCGGGCAAAACCTTCGATAATTCTCGGAACACACGCTATGGCAATTATAGTTAATAATTGCTACTGGTTCCTGCAGCATGTTGCTTAGCTTGCTACAAGATGTCAAACCTGTGATCCCAAATCTATTTATATAATTTTTTGCAACAAATCAATGCCTCCAATTTTTAAATTGTCGAACTTTTAAATACATACAGTCTAAGTGTTTAACAGCAACTACAAGACCTCAACCTTTAACTTTTAAGCATATACATCTCAACCTTAACTTTTAAGTATGTACACTATTCTTGCTTCCCACAAACAGCCTTCAAATATAAAGCTCCCACGCGATAAGGCGTGATGCAGATAACTCTTGCACTACTACAGTCCAAATTTTTTTAGCAATGTTTTGTGTACATGATTAAAAATTGCAAAAAAAACTTCAAAATAAGTAAGTTTGGCCAAAAGTTTCGAAAGTCCAATTTTCCTCGTCAGGTGTTTTTTCCAAATTTTATACATGTAATTCTACTTGTTACACGGTAGACTGCCATTTGGCCAATCTTAATAATATTTATTTTTGGACTACTTTTATCGCTTTATGTGATCGCCCTTGTCAGCAAGGGTGGAGCCGGCCATAACGTAAAAGTTTATACAAAAATGCTGATCACAAACTGTATTATCGACATATTGTATGTTATATCGAATACTGGATCAATATGCGTGGGTTATTCGGTTCTAAAATTACAATAAAAATTTCTGGCTGTTTGTAAACGTTATTGGTCGGCTCGTAACCGAATATAACGTAGATTCTTCGGACTTCTTTGTGGGATAAACACCAGCCTCTTATCTCATTTAGCGGCTAATCCAATTAATTTGGTTCACCTGATCTCTCAATACAATTCAATATCCGATAAGTTAAAGATGTCGGTTTATTGACCACTTTATCAACTTTAAACACGCAGAAGACGAAATACAATAAAGCGAAGTGAACTATTATCAAGACAGAGACTACGTCAAAAGGAGTAACTTGGACTAACTCGAAGAGACGAATAAACTAAACTAAAGAGGGACAAATTAGCTGTCTAACGTGACAAAATAATACCTAAAAAGGACAAAATAATACTATCTAAAAAGGACAAAATAATAACTATCTAGAGGAGACAAAATAATACTCAAATAATATCTAACCTAAAACTAATAACTACTAAATAAACAAAGGGCAACTCAAAAACCAACTGTATCTCACCAAAAATCAAATCACACCCTGCTTGAGGGTATTTGCGAGTAGATTGGCGAGCAGAGCCGTCAATTGGTTGTTGTCATGGGGGGACGTGTAGTGTTGCTGACGTTGTGCTCTGGATGAAGATGGATGATCATGTGTTGATGCGGCCACTGGTTTTGGACGGAGCGGTATAAAGAGTTGGTGGAGTAGGGGCCGGTGGTAGATGTTGAGGGCGACCGACGAACGTGCAGGTTATTCGGCTCAGCCATGTTCCGAGATGGATGTCGTTGCATTGACGGGACACTTCATTAAGTTGATGCAGTGTTGTGGTGGGGCATTTGGACAATAGTTCTTGAAGCTTGGTGAGAATTTCTTCTCGAGGTTGGATGTTTTCAGGTCTAAAAATAAATTTAATGTGGCTAAGAGGCTTAGCTGTTCATCAGAAGGAAGTAAAATTAAAAATTATTATCTAAAAATTATCTAAACGTAGAAAAAATATTTGGAAAAAGGATCGAAGCTTACGCTTGCGGGTTTACCAGCTCATCACCGTCCCGTGGGAGGAACGGAGTAAACGCATCATCCGCAGACATTGTATTACAACTGATTTTCCGGCAAAATCTGAGCGGAACCGTGGTTTCAATGTTGTTTTCCGTCAATATTTTTAAATGTTTCTCCCACACCCGGGTAATTTTGCCCAACTGTAGTCTTTGAGTTTTCGTGTCGAGACTCGGATTTTTAAATGCAACTATCTCGTTGATTTTCCACTCATTTTTTTGTTTTCCATTCGCTCCGAATTTTCCACAATTTTTGGTGGAGATCGAATGTAGATACTCGTTTTGCCAAATCCCCTTGATGTCTGCAATCTTGTTCTGCATTCGTACAAAGGTCTGAACGAGGTTTTGGACATTTTGGGGTGTTTTTGGATCATATTCGGTAATCTCGTTTTCATACAATGGCCACGCTAATGGTTTCCGAAGTGGCATGAGTAAGTCTATTGGCCTTATTATTGCCGAATCTTTACTAACTACCAATAGTGGTCGGGAATTTATTATGGTTTCCGTGTATGGTAATATAATATTTAAATTTTCATATGATATACTTTTCTTTCCAGTAAAATTTCTCCTCAGATTATCTTTTACTAATGCAATTAACCGTTCGTATGTTCCTCCTTCCCATGGGGAGTAAACCAGTGTGAATTTCCACTGAATTTTGTATTTTTTCAGGTACTCATCGATGTCTTCACTTTCGAATACTGTTTGATTCAATGTTTTTTCAGCTAATTTGAAATACGAAGCTTGGTCGCTCAAAATGGTTCGCGGGAAGCCGTATTTTGCTGATAGTATCTGGAGTGATTCGAGGAATCCTTTTGCAGATATGGTCTTTGAAAGATGGAGATTTATTGCCCTGGTTGCAAGGCATGTATATAATGTGATGTACGCTTTTCGTCTCCTTTCAAGGTGAACGGACCTGCAATATCGACTCCGATATCATGGAATATGTAAGTGATATTTGTTCTACTTGTTGGAAGGTTTGGAAGGGGATTGGGTGGGTAAAACCTTTGTCTGTCAACTGAACAGTTGATGCAGGATTTTATAATCAAATGCGTAATTACTTTTGATGCTCTGGGAAACCAAATTATTTCCCGAAGAGCCGCCAACGTGGTTGAGGAATTCATGTGACCCCATGTTTCATGTAATTCTCGAATAATGATGGGTATTAGTTCAGCTTTTTGGTTTAAGAAGAAAGGATTTTTCTGTCGGAATTGATAAGATTCATTTTGGATTCGTGTTACTACGATCCAATTGCTGTTTTGGTCGCGATGGAGGTTTAAAGATCGGATTTGTACTTTACTCGGGGGATGCTGTGTTTGTTCGAGTTTGATTGCTTTTTCAAACAATGTCATTTTCGCAAATGTTTCGGATTTGAAAGCATTGACAAGGTCATGCTTGTCGACAAATTCTTGGAGAGATGGAATGTTTCGATTCTTGACTAAATTATCCCAAAATCGTCTATTTTCAGTTGAATCAGCATCTTCCAATACGAATATCGGAGTCGGTTCAACGTCTCCGTCGAGGTCGTCTGACTGTTTAATTCGAAACGATAATTTCGAGGCTATGAGATCTGAATGAATTTGAGGAGGACCATTTACCCAAATAGGATTGGATTTCAATTCTTCGAAGGTGCATCTTCGTGATGCGATGTCCGCTGGGTTGGAATTCCCAGAAATATGACGAAAACACATGTTAACTGGGGATAAGGTATGTATCTTTTTGACTCTGTTATTCACAAATCGTTTGGTTAGATGTTGCGTTTTTTATCCAATTAAGAGCGATCTCAGAATCACTCCATAAGTACAACTCGGAATTGAGATCTTTGAGACACCTAAGTACCGTTAATAGAACCCGTATTCCCGTTTCAATCGCCAATAATTCTAATTTTGGAATTGTTTGTGATATATGTGAAGGAATCAAGTTACTCTTAGCTAATACAAAGGAGATTGTATTATTCGCTGACTTGATGTATATCACTGCGCCGATTCCGTACTGACATGCATCCACAAACGTGTGAATACTGTACGGAGGCGGTCCAATATAACGGGGAATTGTAATGGGAGATTGATCCCAAGTTTGTATAATATTTTCGAGCTCTTGTTTGATCTCAGAGTCCAGTGTCTTTGCCCAGATCCCTTTAGATTTCGCCAATTTTTGATTTAATCTTTTAAGTGGCAATAATGTTGGTGAATACAACCCAATTGGGTCGAAATTTTTCATTTGAAATTTCAATGAATCTCCATTGACCTCTAATTTGTTGGGAGGACCTTTTGGTGTTACAATTATCGAATCTGTATCTCGATTCCATTGAGTGCCTAATATTTTTTGAATAGGCTCCGAAATTTTATCTTTTTCATTTAATTGTGTCATAAGTTTTTGACTATTTGAACTATATTCTCTTAAGTTCATTCCTGCGAGTGTAAATATATCTTTCAGCTTCAATCCGATTTGAGTCAATTTTTCCTCCGAATCCGATCCGAAGAAGATGTTATCAACATATAATGAAGAAAGAATCTCTTGAAGTTCTTTGGTACCCAGCTCTTCAACGTATTGGCTTAAGTGATGATGAATTACTGTTGCTAACAATGATGGACTACAAATAAGGCCGAAGGTAACCCGACTGAATCTATATATTTGTAGGTTATCATGTGATAATGGTTTGGAAGGGTCTATAAGCCACAAGAATCTCGTGGAGTCTCGATATTCTTCGATTAGGTCTATCATTAAGAAGGCCTTCTCGATATCTGCTGTAAGCAGATACCGATGTTTTCTTGCCCTTATTATCACATCGATGAGATCTGGTAAAAGAGTGAACCCTTGGTTCAGTGTACTATTCAAAGATACCCCTTGTTTATCCCTTGCTGATGCGTCAAACACATTTCGAACTGGGGTGGTTGGGTGCCCTGGTCTATCGACAGGTAAGTGGGGAATGTAACGGCATCGTTTTGTTAATGCATTTTCTTTTTGACATGGTTCAATTATGCCTTTTTCGAGGTATTCCACAAAGTTGTTGTGGTATGCTTCTTTTAAGTGTGGTTTGTTGTCGAACGTTCTTAAAATATGGTATAATCTACCATAGCATTTTCTGAACTCTGAGTCGAATTTGATATCTTTGTCTTTAAATGGGAGAAGAAAAAACAGATACTGCGTATCTGTTTGTGACTGGATCTTGTTTTATATTGTCAAGTACAAATTTAAACGTTTGAATGTCTGACTCTCTTTTGCTTTCGTCGTCTTCTTTTGTGATTCCTATGGAATCAGTCCAAGTACTATATTTTTGAAGTTCGAATTCTTTGAGTGAATTAAATGGATCTTCATGATTATTATTTTCAGGCAACGTTACCATGAGATGAAGTTCTAATGGATCCAATGACTTTGAACGAATTTGACTGACTTCGATTTTTCCGATGTTTGTGACGGCCACTCTGGATCCTGTTTCTGATATCTGATCAGTAAGAGTGAGATTAATGGCAAAAGCTCCGCTTGTTCCGAGTATTAAATCGATTTTTACTGGGAATGCTGTGCCTTTTAATTCGTCGTGGACAATGTCATCAACTACTGTTACTGGAATAACAATGGGTTTTGTGTCTTTGGTGACTAGATCTTTTTTTGCATAGAGGGTTACTGTGGTATCAAATGCGGGAGTTATAAGTGTTCCCGTTATGGTTTTTAGGTGCAAATCTGTTTGATTACTGATGGGTATATGGAGTTTATCTGCGATGGATTTTCGTAACAGATTTCTTTGGCTCCCCGTGTCAATAAAAATATTCGACAATGTTTTACTGTCATCGGATTCGTGGCTAATTAATGCTTCGATGCAACAGAATCTGTCTGGTTTTTGTTTATTGTCTTGGATGTTATGAGTCTCTGCTACTATATGGGGAGTACTGATGGTGTGACTACTCGACCTTGGAGTGGTGAGAGTACTAATATTTAACTCCGATTGGATGGGTCTGGTTTGATTGGAATTTGTTTGGAAAGGGTTATGGTTTGCCCTTAAGGGTGTCGAATTTGGAATGCTTCTTGTCTCTCGTGCATTAATGTGACCGGTCTCGCGTTTAGCGTCATTAAAACAGAGTGCCGTATTATGTTTCTTTTTGCAAGAAAAACACGAAATATGCCTGGTACAGTCTTTTGTACTGTGACCTTGTTGAAGGCATGAGAAGCATCGTTTATTATCTTTTATCCACTGTACACGGTCTTCGTGGTTAGGATAAGTCGAACACTGAGAAGTTCGATGATCTTTTGAACAAAATAAGCAGGTCGGTGTGCTTTGAGATTGGGGTCTGTAGTCTTTGACTGGTTTACGTTCACCCTTTACGATTGCGTTATCTGAGTCGTCATCTAGATCTCTGGCGGTTAAATGAATAGCATGAATTAATTCTGTTATTGTTTTTCGATCTAACTTGTTTTCAGCTAATGTGGACTTTATTTGTAGTCTGGATGACAATGGCATTTTTTTGAATGCTTGATTTACCATATGAGGGGGGATTTCCGTTTTATAGTGAGCTAATTGGTCGTGGATGGAGAGTAATTCGTCGCCGTATCGTCTCATGTCTCTTGCGGAAGATTCTTTAGGAGGTCTAACTTTCTCCCATTTATCCATCCACGTGGAAATAATATTCTCATCGTCACTGTAACGATTTCTCAAGATTTGAATTGCTGAATTGTAATCGGGTTCAGTTAATCTACGGTTCTCTACTATTCCGAACGCTGACCCATTCTTTAATGCTCTTTGTAATTTTAACATTTTATCAATTGCTGGGACATTCTTATTATGTATGTGATAGCTCCAATAGTCCCAGAATGCTGGGAAGTCCTGTACTTTTCCCGAAAATGTAGGGATATCTTGGTCTTTTGGGAGTTTGTGTTCCGTATTATATGTCCAATTGGGGGGTCCGCAATGAGGATACGGAGGGTGTTGCTGATTTTGATTGGGATTTGGATTTGGTTCGTTACGATCCTGTATATACCCATTGGTATTTATGTACGGGTGAGGGATGTATGGACTGTTTCCTCGGAGATTCGCCTGATTTTGG